CCCGGTCGATCTGTTACGGTCCTGGAGCCCGAAACCAGGCAACCGCGCCCAGTGTGAACAAAAATGTATTGCCTGGATCTCAGGGTCCTCCTCACCCTCCTTCTCCTCCTTTTTTTCTTGCACAGGCTGCCGAGCGCACTCGCTCGTTGCGTCAGTCCTGCTGCTCCTCCTCCTCCTCCTCCTCCTCCTCCTCCTCCTCCTCCTCCTCCTCCTCCTTGGCGGGTGGTAATACGGTGTGACCTGATCGGGGCGTGGAGAGAAGGCCCCGAGGTGGCCCTTTAGGGTCCTTCTTGCGCGCCACAGGGGCCCTAAAGGGCTCCCTTCAAGGACCATTGTTCCGACCTCATTTCGGCCCCCCCCCATTACCACCCGCCCGATCCTCCTCCTCCTCCTCCTCCTCCTCCTCTTCCTCCTCAACTTCCCGCTGCCACTCCCGTCACACCTGAAATATGCAACATCGTCCTCCTTAACAATTACACAATATGATCACTATTCTCCTTTCTATCCTGATGACGTCCAGAAGATATACGGCCCCCCCCTCCGCGCACTATTCTATTACACACAAGATTCCCAGGAAATGGGTTTCCGCTCCGGTTTTTTCAACATGTTGCTCCCGCTGAAGCGCTGGCCCCAGTTTCGGACTTCCGCGCGTTCCGAATCGTGCTCCCCCTGCAGCGCTGGCCTCATTTCTGCGCTTCCGCTTGCCCCGAATCGTGCTCCCGCTGCCGCGCTGGCCTCATTTCCGCGCTTCCGCTCGTTCCAAATCGTGCTCCCGCTGCGGCGCTGGCGCCATTATTTCCCGTGCCATGCCACGGCATCGTTTTCGGTCCTTCCAAATAGGCTCCAAAATCTAGAACATGCCCCCCCAAACAAAAAAAAGATCGGAAGTGATTCACATTCGGTGTCGATTCGTTTAATTTTTGGGCCGCGGAAGCCCCGCCCCACTTTGGGGCGTCGCCACACCATGCTCGTTCATGCTACGCGTTGATCTTCAACACCATGCTATGCCATGTAATGCTCTGCCATGCTACGACATCCGACTGTGCGAATAGAGAGGCGATCTACGCCATGGTAAGGGATGGGAGTGAGGTGTAGGACGTCAGATATGACGCGAGCGCACCTAGCTTGTCCTCCCTCCCCCTCCCCCTCCCCCTCTTCCTCCTTCCTCCTCCCCTCAGGGTTCCCTCCTCCTCCTCCTCCTCCTCCGCCCCTCATCATCCTTCTCCTCCTCCTCCTCCTGCGGCCCCTCCCCCTCTACATCGGCTGCCGAGAGGCGGCCCCGATATGGCGCCGAACCCGCATGCGGACGCCACGCGCAGGGGCTTCCCGTGGCAGCGGCCGCAGCAGCAGCCTCGAGAGAGGTTTGGCGGTGCGCGCGCAGATGGCGCTTAGCAGGCTCGGGCATTCTCTGAAGGAGGCTACTTCTGTGAAGGCGCCAGTCATACATCTATATGTACATGTATATCTATATATATACACTTATATATATATATACATATATATATATATATATATATATATATATATATATATATGTAAGGCCCGCGCCTTCTAAGGAGCATGGGTGATTCAAAGAAGCCTCCCCCCTTTCCCTCCCCCCTCTGCGCGTAGCCGATCGAGAGGGTGGCCCCAGAACTTCGCGGCGAGAGCGGGTGTTAGTTGAAGAGGCTTGAAAAAGGCTTGAGAGAATTGACAGAAAACATCGATACGATTAATTAGCGCTATCCCCCTCACCAATCACCCGTGTACGCCTTCCTTGCAATGATAATGATCTAATGGTGCGAGTTGCTCAAAATACGTCCCAGGAACTCCAGAATATCTAGCAGCCCTCGTTTCTGGAGCCCGTGCGGGACCATAGGGAATCTAGGCTTTTTGGGAGATCTTTCAAAACACCATATATTGTCATCACGGTGCGCTCTTCTGTCTCCTCGGGCGGCTGGATTCGCATGGAACCCGGGCCCAGAACGCAGCCTCAGAGAGGTCTGCGGAAGAGAAGCATCGACACGGCAGGCGCGTGCCGCCATGGCCCGCGCGCTGGTCTGTGACATCGCGTGGGCCGCTCAACCGTGGGCGATCGCGGCGTTCGCGTTCTGGGGGTGCGATGCCAGCCGATTCACATGCGACGCCAGGCTCGAATCCCCCTCCCAGTCCTGCCCACCTGCGCTCTCCGAGGTCGGGGCTCGTGACTCTGCCAGGCTTCCGAGCAGCCGATTCTGGGCCACTGGCGGAGTTCAACCTTGAACGCCCGCGCTGGGGGTCGTCACCGCCGCTTCGACACTAGGGAAATAGAGAACTACATAATCATGAATCGGATTCCTTGGATTTCTTGGATCGGCGCTGGATTCCTGGATTATTGGAATTCACAACTCCGCGCTGGATTCATGAATAATCCTGAACCGGCTCTGAATTTCAAAACTCCGCGCGGATTTCTTGGACCGGCGCTGGACCCTCTCCTGGCGGCGGCCCCCAGCGCCGCCCCCGGCGCGCGCCGCGCGCCAGGGAGGGGGATCCAACGTCGATCCAAGAAATCCCCGCGGAGCTCCGAAGGTGCACAGTGGGGGCCAGTCCACAAGAAACCTTCCACAAGAAATCCAACCCTGAGACCTCAAAACGTTCATTGATTTTTGTTGGTGCGGGAGCCTCACGCTTTCCATAGCAAAACCATCGAAACCCGAGAAACCCAGGGCACCCGGACAAGCGGGGGGAACACGAACCCGGCGCAAAACATCGGGCGGCCTTCCTTCTCCCAAGGATGGTCCCTCCTCCTCCGCCTCCTCGTCGTGGGCGTGGGGCGCTGATGGCATTCGGTCCATGGTTAGAGCTTCCTCCTCCTCCTCCTCCTCCGCCTCCTTCTCCTCCTCCTCCTCCTCCTCCTCCGCCTCCTCCTCCTCCTCCTCCTCCGCCTCCTCCTCCTCCTCCTCCTCCTCCCCGGGGCGAGCTGCAAGCGGGCCGAAAGCAAGCCAAAAAGGCAGCCTGACCAACATCAGGCGCGAGGCAGGCACGAGGCACGCTAAGGCAAACGGATTACGGGATAATGACCGTCCCCTCCTGGAGCAACTGAGTGATGCGAACTGCAATCTGAACAACCTGACAGAAACACCACAACACACAAAAACACGACAGCAAACTGAAAACCGTGTGAATGTGCAACTTGACAGACTGCATACAAACGATACGTGAATCCAACACAAAACTCCAAACTCGCTGCCATTGCCTGATCCCTCATCCTGCCCCTCCTCCTCCCCCATCCTCCTGCTGATTATCTTCCCCGTCCTCCTGCTCCAAAGTCCTGCTCCTCCACCTCCCCGTCCAAATTGTCCACCCCGCCCTTTCTCTCCTCCCCCGACTCCCTCCCCCCCTTGAGATACCCCGATTCAAGTGAAAACTTAACGAAACACCAATCCCTGGTTGTTCCTCCTCGTCGTCGTCCTCCTCCTTCTCCTCCTCCTCCTCCTTCTCCTCCTCCTTCCCCTCCACCGCCTTCTCCTCCTCACCACCACCACTACCACCACCACCATCGTCATCACCATCACCATCGTCACCAACATCATCACCATTACCGTCACCTTCAGCAGCATCACCATGACCATCACAACAACCATCACCAGCACCAGCACCATCACCATCATCACCACCACAATCACAATTGCCATGGCCAGCACCTTCACCATCGCCATCACCATAATCGTCACCATCACCGTCATCATCATCAGCACCATCATCAGCACCATCATCAGCACCATCATCAGCACCATCATCATCATCATCATCATCATCATCATCATCATCATCATCATCATCATCATCATCAACATCAGCATCAGCATCATCGTGTTCATCATTATCACCACCATCCTCATCATCACCAGCATCATACTCATCAGCATCATCAGTATCAACATCACCTTGATCATTATCATCACCATCAGCAGCATCATCAGCATCGCCATCATCATCAACAACATCATCAGCATGATCAGACTCATCATCATCCTCAGCAGCATCATCATCGTCATCGTCATAGTCATCGTGATCGTCATCATCTGCATCCTCTTCATTACCTTCATCATCAGCATCGTCATCATGATCATCATGATCATCACCATCATCATCATCATCATCATCATCATCATCATCATCATCATCATCATGACCATGACCATGACCATGACCATGACCATGACCATGACCATGACCATGACCATGACCATCACCATCATCATCATCATCACCATCATGCACCTCATCATCATCCACCTCATGATCACTCCCCGTTCTATTCTCTCCCCGTTCCCCATGCAACCTCCTGCTTTCTCGGCACTGCTCCTCCTACCCCTCGTCGTCCTCCTCCTCGCATCCTCCTCACCCCCTCCTCCTCCTTATCCCATTCACCCCAGGGTATGCCCCCTGCCCGCCCTAGTGAGAAGTCAGGGCTGTTGCACAACCAAATCGCAGGGGATTTGCAGACGCGCGCAAGGCACCAGTCTAGGTGTGTTGAAGTGGACCCCCTTTATGCGGATGTCCCCGTTTCCGTCCTCGCACACGGGTGCCCACTGGCTTACTGGACGGTCTTTTCTTTGCTGTAGCAACTACGACCGAGCAGCCCTCGCCCGAGGGCAAAGGAACGCAGAGGAAGCAGCGGGGACAGAACGGGGGCGCACCGACGTGCAGGTTGGCCACCCCCGGAATGCTCTCTGCGAGGCTCCACCGCTGGAGAGCATGCCGAGGCTGGAAAGCCGCCGAGCCACCACGGACACGCCCGACAACCTCGAACCTCGAACCGTTGCACACCAGAGATCGGACGTCGGGGCTGTTTCGATGCGGGGTCCCCCGAAATCTCGACCCGCTCCCCAAGGACCGGTTTTTCATCCCGAGTCGTTGATTGACGGTCCCGGGGCCTGGCGAAGGCCTCCGAGGGCCGAAAACACGGAAACCTTCGCTTAGGTTTTTCAATGCGCTGGATCTCTGGGACCTAAATTCCCCCTCCGTCCTCATTCGTCCCTTCTCGAGCGAGGGCGCGCCGACGTGCGGGTTGGTCTCGGCGGGCAGCGCGGCGGCCGCCACCAGCGCCAGCCGCCCCGCCACCAGCACCGCCAGCTGAGCGGCCAGGGCGACAAAGCCTCGGGGAGCCGTTTTCGCGGCGGCACACCAAGGAGCAGCGAGGGATGAAAGGGAGAAGAAAGGGGAGGGGAGAGAGGGGGAGAGGGAGAGGGAGAGGGAGGGGAAATACTGTCTGCCTTGTCCACTCTTGCCGATGTGTGTTCGCTCGGCGTCAAGCACCACATCGCCTCGACGAGGATGCTTGCCCTCGAGAGCCACGCGCGCCCATTCCTTAAGGTGGTTCATCGCGGCCAGGCGGCAGTCTCCGTTGGGAAAAGCAAAAGGCCAAATAATGGAGCAAGCGATGCAACGAAAGCGCACGAATAGAGGGTTCCGACCCGAGCACCCGCGCGAAAAAAACGACGGCCGAAAGCGCCAACGCTCTTCTATGCAGGACGGGCCGGCCAGTCACAGCCTTCCTCGGAGGGTCGGACGGATCCGCCGAAAACGTGTGCCCGTGGCCTGCGACGCGTCAAGCCGATCTTGCAACGCCAGCAACTCCACCACCGCTCGCAGTCATGGGCACACGCCTCTGGAACCTCGGGTTTGGGTTCGGATTCGGGTCCCCTGCGTGCGGGCCGCTCCCACTGCCAAATATGCTGGTTTCGTGACTACCTTGTCCAAGCGCTGCTTCTGGGTTGAAGCGAACGAGTCTGCAACATGCGATGTGAACTTGCGAAGAGGGAGGACGAGGACAGAACAGGACAGGACATCCACATGAGGGTGTCAACATCAATGCGCCCGCTGAGGTGCAGTGTAGAGTTCATGCGTAATTCCCCTGCGTGAGTGTTATGCAGCAAGGACTCGACAGCCCGCCGACATCTCATTACCGAGCGAATTGTCAACGCCTGCGCAGAGGCGCGCACACTGCCCTCCTCGCCCCAAGCCCCCCCCCCCCTCCACCGCAGGTGGGCGTGCGGCCCGTTCGCAGGGGGCCCTGCGTTACCAGTCAGTAGCTCCCCGATGAAACCAACGGGCGCGGCGCCGCCGGCACTGCGTTGCAAATGGCACGCGCGAGCGGGCCTGCGCAAGAAGGAGGGTTCCCTGGCCCCTCTTTACTTCGCGAGCCAAATTCCTCAGCATCCTACGGAGAAGAGGACCGATGAAGAAAAGAGAGGGGGGCACCATGCATTCCGACATGCCCTCGCTAGTGCGATCGGCGCTACCTGCGCCAAGATAGATGATTTCCTCCGCGCCAAACGCGCTCAGAAATGCACGGCCCCTGCTCTCGTTGACTTCGCCTCGCGCCGGCTCCCCTGTCGTTTCGTCTTGTCGTCTTCTGCTAGGTCGCACTCAACAACTCAGGAAATCAAGGAGAACGCGCGGCGCGTGCTGAAGATTCGCACCTGGAACCATCCGACGCACCCGGTCGCGCCGTTCAAGGGAGATGACGGCCTCCCGGGGGCAGGGCTCTTGCAGCCTGGGAAAAGCCCCCTTTTATTTCTCTGGAGATTCTCCAACCCCGCCTCGGAGCGTTCATCGCGCTCCTGCGTTGAGCGCCGGAGAACCGCGGCGGCTGCGCGGCCGCGCGCAGAGCAGAAGCAAAGCGAATGCACAAGGCAAAAATGCAGACGGCGAGCCACGGAGGCTGGGCGCGCATCAGAAATGCCCCCGCTTCTTCGCGAGACGGGCGCCCGTGGAGATCAAGCGCGCATCGCCGCTCCATCGTGGGCCGAATGCTCCTGCTGGCATGCGCGCTGCGCCTGGGCGCCCGCGCGGGCTCGACTTCTCCCCGCGCCCTCCAGGACGTGCGCGGTCGAGTTCGACGCCGTCAGTGGTGCCCGAGGTAGCAGTCGCACTCCCGCCAACACACCAGCCCTTTGAGCGCGCCCCACTGCGTGCGTGGGCCCATCAAATGGACCATTCACACCGCGAACTGGAAAGCCGCAGCCGCGCCGCGCATCATCGCGGCTCGGGCAAGGGCGGGGCCATTCCGAAACCGCCCGCGAACGCCGGACAAATCCGATCTCTCCACGGCGCAACCTCGGGCCCCGTGGAGACCACAGGAAGACACCTAAGACAAAGTAGCATGAGCGCGCGCGTGTCCGCGCGGCCCCAACCTGGCCGGCAAGTCCTCTATCTCGATCGCATGGCCCGTCTTGCGCCCCACGCCCAATGGGCCCCGCGTAGCGCGCGCCATCATTGGGGCGGGCGCGTTTGAGATATGCAAGTCAATGCGCGGCGCGTGCGTCTCCGCGCTACGGGCGTAACGCAGGTCTGCCGCGCCCCGCCCGACGCTGCCGACCATTGCCCGATCCGCCGCCCCGGGCGCGCGGAGCTGAGGGGGCCCGGGAGAGCGCAGGAAAAATATCAATTCCAACATTCCATACACTTGATCTACGTAGTAGTGTCCCTCGCACTTCCCATGCTTGCCCATGCCTTCGACGATCATTCGTGTCTGTGCGTGTATTCCCCCCAGAAGGAAACCACCGTAAATCTCGCGCGATTGACCGCCGCCCTGGCTTCGGCCGAGCGCGCCGGGAAAATGCGAAACCAAACCACTTCGCTGCAATCGCATGCATCACGATGGCTCCCCAGAGTCTGGCCGGCATTATTTCGGCGCCTCGGCGCGCCAGCTCGCCGCAATCTGAAGAGGCACCTGCCGGGAGAAATTGCGCCACTGGTCGTCGATGGCCTGCGCGCTAGATTGCGCGTCCAACGCGACGCGGCCTGATCTGAGCCAGACGATCCCAAGGCGGCCTTCGACCACCAGGCCAGCCACATGTCTCCCAGAACCTGGCCTGCAATGCTTGCCAAGCTCCGTTGGGACCTGCCCAAAGATACGTGGGCCCCACGCGAATCTGGAGCAATGCGCGACGGGCTCCAAACTGGCGTCGCATATGGGGTCGCGCAATCCTTCTGAGCGGCGAAGGTGTGGGTGAGAGAAATGTTGCCAGGCGGAACACCCACAGAGCACGTCGGAACAAAAAACTCCAACTACCACCGCTCGATGGCCAACTGCCGGGGCCAATCCTGTTCGTCATGACGCGGCGACCTGCGCGCCTGCAAGGCGACGATGCATGCGAAATCAAGACGCTCGATCCCGCAGCTTCGATGATCGAACATGTGCTGGTCGACGAGCAGGCCGGACCCCTTAGGCATTGCACGCCTGTGATTTCGAATGCAATTTCTGGGCCACGAGGCGAGGTCGATCAGACTTGCCATAAATTCCAACGAGAGTTCTCCTGGCGTTGGCATGCTAGTCCGGCTTTTCAGGGTACACAATCGTGCCTGGGTGCCTGAGGCCCTGCATAACGATAGAAAAACACCGACCCGTGCAAGTTGGACGAATCACTCATGTGCGTGGCCAGTCCACCGAAACGTGCCGCCATCGACCAAACCTTCTGGCAAAACGTCGGTGTACGAATGGTGTACACGAACGATCGCACCGTGTGTCAAAACGTTGAGGGATGTGGTGGCTTGCTTTCACCGCGCCAGAATACCTTGCGGCGCGCGTGTGGGTTTGATCTACCAGCCATGTGATTATACATAGGCCGCACGTGCGGCTACGAAAGAACCCGTCGCACACAGCAGTCGTAGCGCATAATGCGATGCTCGCGGCCGTCCAAAGAATACAAGCAAAACGACACCGTCCCAAAACAAATCATCTGTCCGGGATGATGGTCACCGCCTGCTCAACAATATGATGCGCAACTGTCGCCCCCCTGATCGTACACATGCGCGGAATACGTTGACGAATGTTCTTCTCGATCGTGCGTGCTGGCCCACTGCCTGGGTAGCTGCCTACGCACACGTGGCCAACATTCCACTACGCGCCCGCTGCCGATATAATTAATCGAATGCGTCCATCTGGCAACATTAACTTGCCCATGTCATGGACTATTCTGTGTGACGGCAACAGAAGCGTTCGCTCGCATACCATGCGAAGAATCGCCAGCATGCAAAACCATCGCGAGATAAATTCCAGAAGCTGCGGGCGCGCACCCACGTAACACCGACAACGCTGTTCCAAGACACTAAATTGGGAAACGAGACGAATATCACCAGCCGTGATGCGAGGTAGTCTCTCCCATTCATGTGCACCAGCAGGCAATTACATTCAGCTCGTATCGTGGCACGTCCATACTTCCCCACCCCCTACGTCCACATAGCATCGTCGCGTGTGCGTTGTGTGCGATATGCTGGCAGAAGGGGCCTTGACCCGAGATGTTCGCTTGGCCTTACAGCTCAATTTGAAAATAAGATGACGTACAGATCCACCCCTTTCATTGTTTGTCATTGTCTGCGCGAGTGTCCTGAACGAAATCACCCGCCCTCCCCACTCTTCTGTGGATCCCCTACTTGCGGCCAGAAGAAAACACACAGGGCTGATCATCGAGCAACTGCAACACCCCACCCTTAGAAAGAATACGCCGAAGTAAACCCATGGACTGCAAGATGATCTCGCAAGCCGTGCAGACAGCATCGTTTGCATCGCGTCGTGAATCTCGTCACCCTGCTTGCCCCTGTCGCTTGCGAACATACGTCCATGCACCGTCTGCTGCGCAGACAACAGCTGCAATCCATGGCGAAGTATAGACTGGGACCCTAGACTGGCTCAACTCAATCCCACACTGCTTGCGAGATTTGACCACCATCTTGATCCAGAAAGTGAGAGGTGGGAATTAAGAGGAGGAGGAGAAGCAGGAGGAGGAGGAAGAAGGGGAGAGTAGGAGGAAGCAGGAGGAGGAGGAGAAGCAGGAGGAGGAGGAGTAAGATGAGGGGAGATGAGGAGGAGGGAAAGGAGGAGGGCCAAAGAAATACGCAAGGGTGCCGAATGGGACCGTCCACAACGTGACCCCATCATTCTGACGACTGGCTTCGACAGCAGATGCACAAATGCCACGTCCCAGTGGCCGCAGACGCGCGCGCAGCGCACAGCTGCCGTGCCTGCCCAGGTCGGACCACCATAGTCCCCCCCTTCGGCAGCCATGGCAAAAGCGGAGGCGCGCCGACGCGGGCTCATGCGCAGGGGTCCCAACAGATCGCGAGGAGTTCTCCAGCTCGATCTAGATTCGCCAGCATTCAACTAATACTGTCGATCCACATACTCAACATTGACCAATGTCTCCAGCTCGATGCACATACTTGCGAGTCCCTTCTCGAGGCCGTTCTGAAGCCCGTGACCGGCCCAGTCCGCCCCGCCCTCCCCACCCCCTTGGTCACGTCCCGATTCGCGCCGGCGCCGTCCGGGATCGAGCTATTCCTCGGAATTCCCAGACGGCGCCACCCTCTGGTCACGCCAGTTATCGCCAGGGGACAATAAAACGACATCCTTCTCCTCCTCCTCCTCCTCCTCCTCCTCCTCCTCTTCGCTCCTGCGTGTGTGCTGGCACGAGGGAGGGCCGTGCCATTGTTGTTTCTGGCCAGGCCTATCTGACGTGGCGGGCTGCCCGCCGAAAATCTGTCGGAGGAACTGTCGAACCTCACGGGATTGAGATCGCCATGTCCTGTGTGGGAGTTCCGATCTCGAATCAGATTCGCCAACAACCGCACATCCAGGTGCGCACAAAAATGCGACTGTACGACCCATAACGCGAGCTCCAGGCGCGATCCAGCAGTGTCTGGACTGAACGCTGGGGGTGAGCGCGGAAGGAGGACCCTGCCATGATAACCCAGCACCGCGGTGGGTGGGGGGGGGGATGGCGCCTTAGGGTTATCTTGGCAACTTTGTAGACGATCTATGGTCTTACTCAGGGGCGCCGTGGGGGTTGCTCCGCTGAGAAGCATCTTGTCGAACTCTTGACAATCAGAAATTGAAGGAAGCGAAAAGGAATAGCAATTAGAGGATGGCGTATGCGTAGAATGATATGGATGCAGGCCTGAAAGTAGTGAGCGTGGAGGGAGGTCAAGGGGAAAGGGTGATGAAGGACAAATGTGGAGGAGACACCCCCCTGGACAAATTGGAGCTACGGCGGCCAAGAAAATAGAGATCTAAGAACTCGTCAAACACTGTATGACTGCCTCTGGACGGTGGTAGAAACTTGACAATCACAAGGCTCCTTCGGCGCACATTTGACCTCTTGCAGGAAGGACAATACAGGTAAGATGGAAAAGCATGCTGGAAACTAAGGCAAGACGAAGGATCTTCAGAAATGGGAGCGCTGACGCCGCGAAGAGGCACAGAGAGCAAAGACGAGCGGGGAAGTGTAAGAACAACAGGAGGACGAGGAACAGGAAAGAGAGTATCGAACCCGAGTGCCGCGGGGCACCCCGAGCACTCTGCCTGGGAAAGGTGCCTGCGCGTGGGCAACTGTGGTGGCCACGCAGCGCGCTCGCGGACGATCCTCAGTGCAGAACTCACTCGACATTGGTTGATGTCGAGGTACCCGCTTGGGCCGCCTTGGGGTCCCTCGGGGGAGCCCTGTGCTAGCCACGCACGACTGCGTGTTCTGAGAATTGTGATGTGATGGTTGGGAGATTGTGAATTATTGATTGAACCCAATATTTTCCGTGATGGGGGGCTCACCCCCACCAGCCGCATCAATAGACGTAAAGGGAAGGGGGGGTGGGCTGCCCCCCAACAGTTATGGCACCGTGCTCACAGGCATGGTGTGGTGCTGACAGGCATCGGACAATCTGCAAAGGCGGCCATCGTCGTCGTCGTTGTTGTCGTCGTCGTCGTGATCGTCGTGTTCGTGGTCGTTGATGCTGTCGTCGCCGTCGTCGTCTTCACCGACGTCGTCACCCTCGTCGTCTTGTCGTCGTCGCCAACGTCGTCGTCGTCTCCGAGGGCCTCGAGGGACCTCCACCAGAGCCCTCCAAGGGCCTCCACACACCTCTCGAAGCCTTTAGAGATCTCTGGCGATCTTCAGAGGCGGCCGTTGTCGTCGCCGTCGTCGTTTTCGTCGTCGCCGTCGTCGTCCTCGTCGCCGTCGTCGTCGTTTTCGTCGTCGTCGTCTTCGTCGCCCTCGTCGTCGTCGTCGGCGACGTCGGCATCGTCTTCGTTGTCGTCATCACCCCCGTCCTCGTCTTCCTCGTCCTGATTTCGTCCTGCCCGTCTTCGTCGTCCTTGCCCTCGTCCTCGTCCTCGTCCTCGTCCTCGTCCTCGTCGTCCTCGTTATCGGTGTCGTCGTCGTCGTCGTCGTCGTCGTCGTCGTCGTCGTCGTCGTCGTTGGTGTCGTCGTCGTTTCAGATGTCGTCCCCGTCCTCGTGCTCGTCCTCCTCGTCACCGTCGTTTCCGACGGCTTCGACGGGCCTCCAGACACGTTCAGAGGACACAAGGGATATCCTGAAGCCTCCGGACACTTGCTGAGACTTTCAATGGCGGCCGTCGTCGGCGTCATCGTCATCGTCGTCATCATCGTAGTTGTTGTCGCTGTCGATGTCGTCGTCGTTATCGTCGTAACCGTCGTCGTCGACGTCGTCGTAGTCACCGTCGTCGTCGTCGTCGTCGCAATCGTGGTCGTGGTCGTGATCGTCGTCTCTATACGTCTCCCCGAAGGGCCTCCAAACGCCTCCAGGGGCCTCCAAACACTCCCCGAAGCTTCCGGAAACCTCTGGATATCGTCAGGGGCAGCGGTCCTCGCCCTCGTCGTCGTCGTTCTCGTCCTCGCCCTCGTCGTCGGAATCGTCACAGTCGTCCTTGTCGTCGTCCTTGTCCTCGTCCTCGTCGTCTTCGAAGACCTTGCCCTCGTCCTCGTCGTCGTTTTCATCGTCGCCCTCGTAGTCGTTATCGTCGTAGTCGTCGTCGTCGTCGTCGTCGTCGTCGTCGTCGTCGTCGTCGTCTTTGTCGCCGTCGTCCCCGTCCTCCTCGTCTTCGTCCTCCTCGTTGTAGTGGTCGTTTCCGAAGGCCTCGAAGAGCTCCTAAACGCCTCCAAAAGCCTTCCTTCGGGGACATCCTGAGGCCTCTGGAGACGGCCGGAAACCTTCAGTGGCGGCCGTCGTCGTCGTTTTCGTCGTCGCTATCGTCGACGTCGTCGTCGTCGTCGTCATCGTCGTCGTTCTCACCCTTGTCCTCGTCTCGTCCTCGTTGTCGTTCTCGTTCTCGTTGTCGTCGCAGTCGTCCAGCGCCTCAAGCCCCCCCCCGTGGGGCCCGCCCACGTTAGCGTTACCCCCCCACGCAAACCCTCCGTCGCTGACGTTAAGTGGGGGGAATACCAAAAAAACACTCTCGATGGTGATGGTGATAGGGCACTCGGTTGCAGGGCTGGGGAACGGGGCTCACCTACCACCTACCTTGCTGGGTTTGAGTTCACACAGGCGCGGCCGAAGCGAGGGCCCGAGACCCCCCGGCGGGCCCGCGGCGACGAGGAACGGGCCCGGCATGCCAGACAGGGGCAGCCCCCCGCGCCGACCCCTGGCGCCCGAGGCCACCAAGGGCATCGCGGCCAGGCCGCCCCCTGCCGCCCGAGCCTTCGCGGGCTCGGCGGACGCGCGAGCCCCCGGGCCCGGGAGGAGGACCGCCGACGGCCGCCATGAGGCCGCCGGCCGAGCCTTGTGAGCCAAGCCGCGTCCAGCGGCCCTTGGGCCAGGCAGGCCCGTGGCTCGCAGGGCGTGCGTCTGGCTCGGGCGGCTACGGCTGGCCAGCGCCCCGCCGCCACCGTCGGCCGCGTCGAGCCTCCCGCTGCGCTCTGGGCCGCGCGCGCCAGCATGGGCGTCCCGACCCTCCGCACATCCGAAAACGAGGCCGCCCTTCCACAGGTCCGAACGCGAGGCCGATACGTCGGTCAGGGAGGCGAGGAGGTACGCGAACGCCGCCGACGGCTGCGCCGAGCTCCACGGCCAGGTCCACGACAGCCCCATGACGGGCAGCTCCAGGACCAGGCCCTCAAAGAACTCCAGCTTTATGATGGGCAGCTCCACGACGACGAGCTCCAGCTCGGTGGCGACGGTCTCCAGCTCCATGACGGAGTTGCAAGACGACGAGCTCGACGACGACGAGCTCCAACCCCGTGGAGGGCAGCTCCACTCTAAAATCCGCGGCCAGGCCCGTGACCGCTTCGAATTCCACGGCCAGGCCCGCGACCTGATCCATGGCAATGACTGGCGGCCCAGCGAAGGAGCTCTGTGAGCTCCACGGCGAGGGCGCGCTCCAGGGCCAGTTCCGCGACGAACTTCGTGGCCATGACAATGCCACGGCCAGCGCGAGCGTCTCCACAGTGTGCTGCACTGCCAGGGCGACTGCGCCCGTGGCGGGCGGCTCCGCGGCGAGCTCCGCCTCGTCCCCTCTCGGCACGGGGGTGCCCGCCGCGGCGGCCTCTACGGCCGTGGCGTGCTCCAGGGCCTGCTCCTCGACGGACTCCGCGGCGTTCGCGGCCGGCGCCGCTACATTGGCGGGCGGCTCCACGGCCACGCCCCTCCTCGCACCCTCCGGACCCTCGCCGATGCGCACCACCATCCGCGCTCAGAGCTGCTCGACCAACGATTCTGGCGCGGAGTGCCGCGCCCAGGGCCTGAGCTGCACGAGTTCGCTCATCCCCGAGACGGCCGACCCTCACTAGGTCGGGAAAGTCGGCACAGGCGAGAAGTCGAACCAGCGAGAGAGGTCAGCGTGCCGCAAAACCCCTCGAGTCGGAACAACAATGGTGATGGTGGTGATGATGGTGATGATGGCGATGATGAAGATGAAGATGGATATGAAGATGGAGATGATAGTGATGATGATGATGATGATGATGATGATGATGATGATGGTGGTGGTGGTGATGGTGAATAGGATTATGCTACTGAGGATGCCGATGATGATGATGATGATGATGATGATGATGATGATGATGATGCTGATGATGATGATGATGATGCTGATGCTGATGATGATAATGATGATGATGATGATGGTGCTGATGGTGCTGATGATGATGCGGATGATGAAGATGGTGATACTGATGCTGATGATGATGGTTTTGATGGCCATGGTGAATATGACGATGGTGATAGTAGTTACGACGACGATGATGAATGGCGATGATGACGAAGATGATGATGTTGATGCTGACGATGCTGATGTTAACATTGATGGTGATGATGTGGTGATGGTGATGGTGATGGCGAAGCTGATGATGCTGATGATGATGATGCTGCTACTGATGACGATGATGACCACCCAGTTACCGTGTAAAGTGGACTGCAAGTTGGCCCCACTGTCGGAATCCCCGTTGGGCAGTACGTCGCTCCTCCTGCGCGGAAGAACACGCCGCGTCATTACGCACGGCCTTTCTCTTGTTTAAAGGGCAGCGTGTATAAAATAGGCATGCGGCTTACTTTGGCTTTGGGCTCGGAGCCACACAATCGGGCTCTGAGCCAAACGCCGCGTGCATGCACACGGGGTTTTCGGCCAATACGGCCGCCTGCATGCGCACGGGGTGCTCGGAAGCTTCTTAAGAAACTTCTCGAAAACTGATGGAGCAATTCACGCTGTGTTAGAGAGAAGTGGAGAGCGATGGGTGTGAACCCTACTGTAGCTTTGAAGCAAACCTCCGCAGGTTTGCAAGCAGGTCGTGAGCGGACAGCCCCTGGCAGGCTGCCGTGAATCTGCGCCAGACGAGGAAGAGAAGGATGGACATACAGGAGCCGCGCCCAGGCGGCGAAGCTTGTGACAAATCTCTCAGAGAGGGATGAGAAGGCGGCAGATGCACAAGAAGGGCCTATCTCAGCCAACGCACTGGTCCATGACTCAGCATATAACTCACTGTGCAAGCGCAGATGTGACCAACAACGGCCATTAGGCCGTCACCAGGCGTCAAACTTACACCGCACGGAAAAGTTGCAAGTTGTTTACCCACGCAAATATTCAACACTTTGGGGATCCCTCGGCGTGTGAGGTACTTGCCCATCCCCAAAACCGTTCCCTGAGAACCCGATTTGGAGTTGAGGTGTGTCTGGCTGTGGGCCCAGCTGGGTCTGGCCGCAGGTGCTGGCGGACATGTCGTGCCCAGTATGGGCTCCATGTGGTCCCAGACAGCTCCAAAACAGCTCAACTTGGCTTCAAGACGGCCCCAGATAGAAGGCTCCAAGAGGGGCCCAGCCCCACGACGACCCAAGATGGCTTGAAGACGACACGGCCGTCTAGGGAAAGCTCCGAAACAGCACCAACACAGCCTACGAGGCTTCCACAAAAGCAGAGCCCTCACACGGCCCAAATGTGCCCCAGAAAGCCCCCAAGGAGAGCACCGCAACGGTCCAGAGAGGCCCCAAGGATGGCCTCCGGAGGCGGCAGCTGGCCCAGAAGCGCCCGAGGCCACTGGCTCCAGGAGGCCCGCAGCAACTCCTCCAGAGACCCCCGATCGATGATCCTCAGCACGGGCGTCAGCGCCCACGTGTGTTTGTCCGCCGAAGCCCTGCAGTACCCCGCAGGCGGTCTGATGAAGGCCGACACGGGCCGCGTGGGAGCGGGTGAGCCGGACGGGATAAACGCGTGCGCCGCACTGTGGCCAGTTCTTGGATGCTTCGCGATGCCGCCCGTGACGAGGCCCGCCCCCCCACACCTGCCCCTGGGACGCACAGAGAGACATGCTAGTACTATATATATATATATATATATGTACATATATATATATACTCCTTGGGGGCGCGCGTCCGACCCGAACATATAGTACATCCGTCTTGTAGTGCCTCGCTTCCCGAGCGGTGCGGCCACAAAGCGCCTGCCACGACGCATTGTACTGCAAGATTTCTCGGTGCGCCCGTCGCCCCCAGGGGGCCGACGCACACAACCAGTACTAGCATGTTGGGGCGACGCCGATCCCCCGCTGGTCACGTCACGATTCAGGCCGGCGCCGTGTGGGAATCAGGCATTCGCCAGCAATTCCAAACGGCGCCGGCGAAAACCGCGACGCGAATCGCCCCCTGCCCACATCCCCCCCCATTCACGCCCGTTTTCGCCCGAGGGACATGGGCCCAAGATCTTCCAAGACAGGGTCTTTGGTTAACACGCGTCCCGGGGATCATCGACCCAATATGCATCCGAGAGGACCCCCCGTCGCCGCCGCCGTCGTCATTGTCATCGTCGTTCTCGTCGTTGCCGTCGTCGTCATCGACCCAACATGGCCTCGCAGTGCGAATGGCCAGCGTGTTCCGCGGATGTGCACGTCGAGAGGCGAGAGGAAGCTCGACAGGCACGCACAGCGTGCCTCCCACAGGCTCCCGCGCTGTCCATGCATTGTGCTGGGATGGGCTGGGCGACATTTCCACCACGATCATCTTCGACGTCCCGCACACACTGGACTGGCACGATGGCGGAAGAGCCGACATGTCAAACTCCTCTCTACGTTTTCTCCTTCTCCTTTTTCGATCTGCGAAGTCCAGCAAACGCGCACACAAACACACACACACACACACACACACACACACACACACACACACACACACACACACACACACACACACACACACACACACACACACACGCACACACACACACACACACACACACACACGCGCGCGCGCGCGCACTTGTTGCGTCGCGGCCCCGCGCGCAGTCCGGGGGCTGGAGAAGATAACGCCCGCGGCCAGACCCTCAGAAATGGGGCAAACATCCGCACGAGGGGATCAACCGTGCCACTCGCGCACCCGGGCGCGGGCAGCGAAAGGGACGCAGGACGAAAGACGAACCGTCAGGCCAGCACGGGCAGTGCGACGGTCGAAGTACGGTGGCAGTGGCAGTGTGCGTATACGGGGGAGGGAACAAGGTAGCGGCGGCAACGAAGACACTCACACACACACAGATACGCACCCACACACACACACACACACACACACACACACACACACACACACACACACACACACACACGCACACATCACCAATGCTGGCGGCATGGGCCGACGGGACCTCCCCCTCTTTCTCTTTAGTTCCCCCTTCCTTACTGTATCACTCCTTCCTTCCTGCATCGTCCTCCTGCCCTCCTCCTCGTCGTCCTCATCCTCGTGTTCCTCCTCCTCCTGCTCCTCCTCGATCCTCCTCGATCCTCCTCCTTCTTTGAAGTCCGTTTCCGTGGGGATAATTGGCAAAGCCCCGCACACTCACACACATCACCTGTGCGTGATGGCGAGATGGTGCGACTGGTTCCTCTCCTCCTTTTCCTCCTCCTCCTCCTCCCATAAGGTTGTTCATTTGTCTTCCTCCTCCCCTCCTCCGCCTCCTCCTCCTCCTCCTCCTCCTCCTCCTCCTCCTCTTGTTCCTCATGGGCCCAGCCACCCCAAAGGGGACCATCTGCTCCAACTGTCCCCCTGATATGTTTGAAAACAACGGAACGCAAGATAATCATGTATGCATCATTTTTTTTTCCAGTATCTGCTTGAGGAACGGAGCCTGGCACAGGACAGCTTTGGCAGGCGGCAAAGGCCTGCGGCAAAAGAGAAATCTGGAGGCAACGGGCTGGCATTGGGAGCCAGAAAGACTATGGAGCAGGGCTGAAACGGAACTGTGCGATGCAAACTCGTTCAACAACGTACATGCATCATCTTTTTTCCAGTATCTGCTTGAGGAACGGAGCCTGGCACAGGACAGCTTTGGCAGGCGGCAAAGGCCCAACTACAACAAGGCACAGTACCCATTAGCAAGCATTGCACTGGCTCAGCCGTGAATCAACATCCATTTTCGGGAGACCATCCTGGCGACAATTGTCTGCGAGAACATTCGAGCAAGCTGCCTGCAGATGGCGTCGGGATAGGCGGCCTTCTGGTGAGTGCGGAAGTGAGTGGCACCGCCTTCCTTTCCAGACAGCTCAAGATGAGGCTGGCCAGAAAACTCACACACACACACCACGGCCATGACATTTCATAGACAAGAGAGAAGAGGATGGACGACTATGCAAGAATTGGAACTTAGTGCGGGCTCGAAAGGGGCGACCTGCCGCACATTGGTCAACAATAGCTTCGAAAAAGAAAGGAGGGTGATGGCGGCGAGTTCTGTCTGGAAAATGCCAAAGCCAACTGCTGCAGGGATTTTCTTCGCCGACAGGAATGTTGAACTTTGCAGCTAGCTGCCAGATCTGCCCAGCTCGGGAGGCGAGCAGGTTGCCAAGCTCAAGTTTGGCCTGATCGGGAGCAGCTAAATTTGGCAAGCCAAAGATGTGACAGCCCACGGCGCAGGCTGGGCAAGATCAAATTCTTGCCCATGCAGAACATCCCATTCAATGACTGCATGCCCTGCCTGTCGCAGGTGTCGCGCAAGGTTGCCAGAGCCACTAAAGAGTTCAATGAAGATGCGAGAGTCATGACCTTTGCTACTCATCACCGCTGAGGCGAGTACAGCTTGCAGGCGGCGTCGAGCCCAGCAGCCAACCGTTCGATCTCCTGGCGCTGGAGGGCGGGAATCTTCATCCACTCGATCGCCACTCGCCCGTGCTTGTCGTAGCGCCGCACGCTGTTGAAGGCGCGCCAGTTTCCTCGTTGCTG